ATCAGCAGAAGCAGCAGAAACAAATCGTAAGTAGAGACAAACGTGCACACGCGCCATCTTGACCAGAAGCAAGTCAGCTCCAAAGTTGATACGTTTTAGATGAGAAACTGGGGTTATCCTAGTATAATCTTATAATAAATATATATTTTTTAAATTATTTAGAGCTCACCACAGCACTGAATCTGGTGAAAGTTACTAATGATATTCTCATGGCCTCTGACAATGGACAGGTGTCTACACTGGTCCTGTTACACCTCAGTGCTGTATTTGATACAGCTGATCACAATATTTTACTACATACCTAAGCCTGAAAGTCTATGTTCACAAATCATTTCAGTTTATTCATATGGCTCCAAGTCACAACAGAAGTCATCTGAACAGAAACATTCATATGTATAAAAGTTAACACTACAGTTATCTGAGGAGCCAGCAGATTGATTTGAGTTTTAATAATTTAGCAAAACAACTCATAACTAGCTCTCAAAATATAAACTAAAGTCACCAATCAATTCTAAAAACATCTTACTTTGGATGAACCCTTGGCGCGTGCACCCTCGTACAATATTCAACACGTCAAGCCTAAACCAGTTTAACTGAGCCTGAAGTCACTTCATCATCCTGTTATTTCTCCCTCTCTCTCACTCGAGCTGCAGTTACTCCCTGTGCTCTCCCTGCCTTCTGTTGATCTGTTTGTTAATAAAGCTTGATTTTGGTCCTCATCTTTAGTAAAACTAAACACATCTCAGCCCTATTTTTTTTACCTGGACACAACACTGAAACATTTCCTACTGCAGACCAAACGTTTATCACGGCAAGGCTCAGCCCAGTTCAAACAAAATAAAACCATTCATACATACCGTACCACAGCAGAGCTCCCCGTCGGTGCTGACAAACTCTGCTGCACTTCTTCTTCTTCTTCTGTTTCAAAGACGGCACGTAGCTCTTCTTCTTCTCTGTCTGTAACGTCAGCGCTGCAGCACGGCCAGCTGCTACAGTAACAGCGGTTGTTGCGCGCAACTTACTCGCACACCCAGCTACTGTAATAACCGTCTACATGCAACTTTTTTTTTCTCGTTCATAAAACACTCAAATCGGGGACATTTTCAGGGAGCTTTATCCGGGGACAGGTCGTCCAAAACGGGGACTGTCCCCAAAAATTGGGGACATCTGGTCACCCTACATATAATGCAATAGATGTACTTTTAAATACATTTATCAATAAATCCACTTTAAAATCTCAGAACTATCCCTTTATGTCATGTTAACACAAAGCAAGTACAGTTACAAATACTTCCTTAACGTAAAAAAAGTAAAACTATGATATTTTTAAGGTGGATAAAAAAAGTCTGACATTCTTCTTTTAAATTATTCTAAAAAGAAAAGACAAAGTTGTAAAAGAACAGCATAATCACACCTGCAGGCTTTAATGATCAACTGTTATCATAATTGATTAATCAATACATATCTGACCCGTGTGACTCAGGTTTCTGCAAACTGGTCTTCCCTCTGAACAGGAGCAGGCATAGCTTCCTGGAAGGTTGGTGCAGGATAATTGCTGGGGACATGTTGTGGGCAACACACACTCATCCAGGTCCACACATCCATTGTTTCCATGGCCGTTACTGCTGGTCGCTTTCCAGCCGGGATTACAGGAGCACCTGAACCCTCCTGCCTGGTTGATGCAGGTGGCAGCAGAGTGACAGAACCCTTTTTTCTGTAGGCATTCATCTATGTCCACACACAGTGACCCAATGCTTGTGAAGCCTGGCTGACACACGCACACAAATGATCCTGGAGTGTTGTGACACTGAGCCAGTTGATGGCAAGGGTTTGTTAACACAATGCACTCATCCATGTCCACGCATGCAGTGCCATTTCCGGCGAAGCCTTCATGGCACTGGCATAAGAAGGAACCAGGACTATTCCAGCAATATGCCAGAGAGTGGCAGGGGGACCACTCACATTCATTGTTGTCAACACATTCTCCCCCATCCTCATGGTACCCTAGAGGGCAGGAGCAATTGTATCCTCCGGGCAGGTTTGTGCACACCTGGTCAGAGCGGCAAGTGGAAGAGTTTGTGCATTCATTGATATCTTCACAACTCAAATCAACAACTCTGTATCCAGGAAGACACAAACAGCTGTAAAACCCTACTGCGTTTTGACAAAACGAGTGTTCTTGACAAAGGAGGGGTCCTGGGTGTGAACATTCGTCCACATCCTGACACTCTGTTCCGTTCAGAACAAAGCCTTCGTCACAGGGACACAGGTATGAACCCAGGACGTTGACGCATGTGGAATAAGGTTGGCACACTGAGGAGTTCAGGGAGCCAGAACATTCATCTACATCCACACACTCTGTCCCATTACTCCAAAACCCTCTGAAACAGTCACAGTAATAAGACCCGAGAACGTTCTTGCACATCCCATTTGTGCAGATGTCTTTCTGTCCCTGTCCACTGCATTCATTGATGTCCACACACAAGTCAGTGGCACTAGAGAACCCTGGGTCACAGGGACACTGGTAGCTTCCATTGGTGTTTACACATGTGCTGTGTTCAGGGCAGGTGGTGTAATTAAGACATTCGTCTATATCCTGACAGTCAATATTGTTGCCTTGGTAACCAGCCCAGCACTCACAAGTGAAAGATCCAAGGTTGTTCACGCAGCTGGCAAAGTTTGGACACTGACTGAGTCCAAGGGAACACTCATCAATATCTAGACAGAGTGAGTTGTTGCTTCGGAAACCAGGATCACAGGTACAGTTGTAGCTTCCCTGTAGGTTTAAACAGGTACTGTTATTGCGGCAGATGAAAAATCCCATTTCACACTCATCTATGTCCTGACAATGTGTCCCATTGTCCTGAAAACCGTCCCAGCACTCACAAGTGGAAGATCCGATGGTGTTGATGCAGCTGGAGAAGTTTGGACATTGCCTGAGGCCGAGGGAACACTCATCAATGTCTATACAGAGTGAGTTGTTGCTTAGGAAACCAAGGTCACAGGTACAGTTGTAGCTCCCCTGCAGGTTAGAACACATGCTGTTCTCGGGGCAGGTGAAGTTTCCTGTATCACACTCATCTATGTCTTGACAGTGTGTCCCGTTGTCCTGAAAACCATGCCAACATTTGCAGATATAAGAACCGTTGGTGTTGCAGCAGTCAGAGAATACAGGGCAGGGGTCCTGTGATTGGACACATTCGTCTACATCCCAGCAATCAGCACCACTTCCTTCATAACCCTCTGCACATCGACAGTAGAAAGAACCCTGGTAGGGGTGGCATTGAGCATGGATGTGGCAGTTGCTGCTAGCGTTCAGGCATGTGTCTTCACTCACACATGTCCCTTTCAGATACACATTTCCCAAACTACAGGAACAACTGTAAGAACCAGGAGTGTTGTTGCAGGTCATGTTCTTGCTGCAAGCTGTGGGTTGCTCACATTCATCCACGTCGTCACAAACAACACCGTCACCATGGTATCCGTCTATACACTGGCAGAGGTAGGAACCATCAGTGTTGAGGCACAATGCCTGACTGCTGCAGTTGTGTGGCCAGATAGAGTTCAGCTTGCATTCATTTATATCCTGACAATAAAATCCGTTCCCTTCCATACCACGTGGGCAGATGCAGGAGAAGGATCCAGGCATGTTAGCGCAGACAGCAACTGGGTGGCATCCTCCATTTTGGTCATGGCATTCATCAAAGTCTATAATTCATCCAAAATGGCACAGTGTCAGGGAAGCAACCCCAAAAGTTGCTAAGAAAGCTCACAAGAGAGTCCATGTACAGAGGCAAAAACAGCAACTATTTCAATAGATGGATATAAGAAGAAACTGATACTCACCAGTGCAATTCTTCCCGTCGCCTGTGAAACCACTGAAACAAGAGCAGAAATAACTTCCAACAGTGTTCAGACACTCAGCAAACTGACTGCAGTTCTTCTGCTTAGTCTTACACTCATCCACATCTGGAAAAAGGAGAGGGAGACAGAAGTTTAGTGTTACGGTTTTAATAAAACTCTACAAAAGAGTAAAATATTCTGTATGGTAACATAATAATCTTGGAGATTATTAGAAATGGACAAAGCATATCCTCCATCTCTGATTGTTCAGAATCTAAACCAAATATTTCTGTTTCTTACAGCTGCCATGTTATATTTTTGTAGTCAGGGAGATGTAGAGGTGTACCCTTGATACAAAAGCCTGGCCCACACACTTACCATATTTGCTAACAGCTTATTAATCACGGTAGACTTTAAGCCACAAATCCCAAATCAAAATAAAACATAACATTCAGGCATATAAACTATCTTCAGCTCAAATTGTCCAGATCTATAACCCACTATATGCCACAGAATGTCCAGGTCAATAACTGACGTACTGACCTGAATGTCCAGGTCTATAGATCAGCTACAACCCAAAGTGTCCAGGTCTAAAAATTATAGACAGCCCTGAATTTATAGGTCTATAAACTATCTACAGCCTGAAAGTCTGGGTCTTTTAACCACCATCAGCCCTGAAGTTCCCAGTCATGCACCCCAGTCTTGTGTGCATGACCAAGACTATAGTTTTACAAGCCATGCACACAAACTAAACTGTAATGTTACAAATACGGCTGCTCAAAATGCAACAAAACGACTCACTGGTCACAAACGTTTAGAATTCACAGAGACTCTAAAAGAAAGTTTGTGTAATATCTCATAGTTTTGTGTCACCCGCTAGTCTTCAATGGTTGCAGCTCAGTGAGATGCTATTGAACACAACTGTAGTCCAGGAAAACGCAGAACCAGACAAGCTGCAAACTGTTTCAGTTTAGTAAAAGCATGAGGTTTGTTTAAGAGTTCTATGAAAAAAAGAAGTATTTTACCAACACATCGCGTCCTGTTGAGAGTGAAGCCTTTTCTGCAGATGCAAGAAAACGATCCTGGGGTATTCACACATTGAGTTTCATTTTCAGGACAAATATTTTCCATTTTACACTCGTCTATGTCAGAGCAGGTCAGTCCATCGCCAGTATAGCCCACATCACAAACACATTGGTATCCAGAAGGTGAGCGGTGGCACAGACCCTCACTGTCACAGGGAGGATCACACAGGGAAACAGGTTGCACACAGGTGTTATTGGAGACCACCGTACCATTCAAACAGGAGCAAACATAAGCACCAGGTGAGTTGACACAGTGTGAAAAGGCAGGGCAGGTAGTGTTAGAGAGGGAGCATTCGTCCACATCCCAACATAAGAAGCCATTTCCGCTGAAACCTTCTTGACAAATACAGGAGAAGTCCCCTATAAAGTTAGTGCATATGGCCCTGGCATGGCATGTGCCCTCCTTAGCACACTCATTTATATCCAAACACTGAGTGCCATTTCCAGTAAATCCTCTCTTACATGTACAGGTATATGATCCAATGGTGTTAAGACAGGTGGCGTTGATGTGGCATGGTTTGTCCTGACACTCATCCTTATCAACACAGGCCATGCTGCTCGCAGGGCGGTAATACCCAGTCTGGCAAGGGCACTCATAGGATCCATCAGTGTTTTTACACACTTCATTTACTCCACACGGATTAGCCAATTCCTTACACTCATTTTTATCTTGGCAAATTGTCTTATTAATCAAGTCAAAACCTGATGGGCACTGGCAACTGAAAGAACCTTGAGAGTTGATGCATGTTGCTCTGTTGCTGCAACCCCCATTAGCCACAGAACACTCATTCACATCATAGCACTGGACATATCCGTTCCCAAAATACCCCACCTTACAGGTGCAGCTGTATGAGCCAGGCAGATTACTGCAAACAGCATTGGAGTGGCACCGGGAAATTAGAGAGCATTCATTAATATCCATGCAGGTGAAACCATCTCCACTGTAACCCGTCAAGCACTGACAAGAAAAAGAACCAGGGGAGTTTGTGCAGTTTGCGTTAGGACTGCAGCTGCCTGATTGACATTCATCAATATCAGTGCACCTGGAGTTATTGAAGATGAAGCCGCTGCCACAGTCACACTTGTATGACCCATTAGTGTTGACACATGTGGTAGTAGATGGACACATGTTTGACTGAGCACACTCATTAATGTCCAAACACTGTCGCCCATCTCCAAGGTAACCTTCTAGGCAGGAGCACTCGTAACTGCCCAACCTGTTGATACAAAGTGCCTTGGGGTCACATTGATTGCCTGCGATGCATTCATTTATATCCACACATGTCAACCCATTTCCTACAAACCCGCTTCTACAGGTGCATTGGTAGGATCCAATGGTGTTTTTACAATCTGCATAAGGGCTACAGATGTTAGTTGCACACTCATCAATGTCTGAACAGCTCTGTCCGTTACTTTGGAAGCCAGTGTTGCAGGTACAATAGTAAGAGCCAGGCAGGTTTGTACAACTCTTATAACCTAATGAAGAAGAACATACATGAGGGTTCTCAGTACACTCATCAATGTCTAAACATAGGTATTTTCCATTTCCTTTGTAGCCAGAATTACAAGTGCACACATAAGAGCCAGGGTTGTTGGTGCAGGTGGCGTTCCAGTGGCAGATTCGTTGGTTTGAACATTCATTGATATCAGTGCACTTAAAACCGTCACCGACAAAACCTGTGCTACACTGACACTGCCTCCCTCCATCTGTGTTTGTACAGATGGCAGTGGGGTCGCAGTCACCATTTGCTGTTAGACACTCATTAATGTCCTGGCAACTTTTTCCATCGCCAACGTATCCACTGAGACAAATGCAGATGTAACTGCCTTGGGTGTTGTTGCAGCGGGCCTTTGAGTCACAGTTATGGAGGAGACTCAGACATTCATCGATGTCAGTGCAGAGCAGGCCGTCACCCTGAAAGCCTGTCCGGCACACACACGTGAAGTTGGTCCTAATCTTTATGCAGTCAGCCTGAGAATGGCATCGGATGCCTTCAGCCTCACACTCCTTCTGGTCGACAACAGCTGAAAAAAGAGAACTGCTTAGGAAACAGTATTTAATTCAATTCAATTCAGTTTATTTATTTAGCACAGAGTCACAACAAAAGTCATCTCAGGACACTGAACTGAAACATTCAAATATAAAAATAATAATTTAACACTATTTATCTGAGGAGCAGACTGCTTTGAATTTAACTCCATTGCAGAACTCTCATCTTGAGCAAGCATGAAGGAGACAGTGCAACAGTATTTCTGATTATTTATTTACGTCTATTATTGAGTACTCAAAAAGCTTCAGTAATTACTTCTGGGTATCATGTGATCACAGTAAATACAGATTTACTGTTGGATACCTGCATAGCAGGAGCCCAGTCCTGCAATGAGCACGATCAGCCTGAAGAGACAAAACCTGAGAACACAAAGAGAAAAAAGGCCAAACATTATTTAGACCCACAAATTGATCGAAACTCATTTCACAGAAATATTAAGTGGATTCTTGAGTCTTGAGTCTGCTGCTTCCTTAGATAGAGAACTTTACTAATTGGCTTTTCTATGTATGTGAATGTTCCTGTAAAGTGCCCTGAGACAACTTTGTTGTGATTTGGTGCTATATAAATAAACTGAATTGAATTTAATTGAATTGAATTAAAAGAAGAAAATGGATTTAGTTCACACTAAGGTGAGGGGCCATGTGTTTAAACACTTTCGGTTTATTTCCCATAATACACCAAGTTCAGTTCAGAGGAATCAGGTGTAAATTCTGAGACGCCCTTCAGCTTGGGTCTTCTGAATAATCTGAGTGAAATTGTTTTGGGTTTTATAACTTCCTGGTCCGAGTGGCAGCAGTCAGCAACTCATCAGCTTCTCTGTAGTCCTGTAACATCAAACTGACCCGATCCGGACTAAAAAGTTCAGTTCTTTTTCAAAGCGACATCGGTGCTCAAAGAGCTGTATGGAACCGGACAGCAATTGGGAACAGGACCACTTCCATACTCATCGGTCATTCCGAGTGCCACTTGCCAGCCAGGTCACCTCTCAAGCGGGGATACGTTGCTCAGGGATTCTGTGTTTTTCTCCAGAGCTCAACCGGACTTTCATCCAGAGCTCAACCGGACTTTCATCCAGAGCTCAACCGGACTTTCATCCAGATCTCAATGGATTACTTGAATTCGACTGGAACTATTGTGTGGTTTCGTGCTGGCTTTTTGAAGGACCGGCTTTCTCCATAAGCTTCTTGCTTAATGGATACAAATGCCCCTTTTCCACTGTCTCAGTGCGGATCAGGTCAGTTCGGGTCGGTTCAGATCGGCTCGGGTCTGTTGTGTTTCCATTTACACTTCTGGACCGGCTCTGTAGGTGGGGACTAGAATCCAACTGGTCTTACCACCTGGTGGCAGTAGTGCTCCCTTAAGCTACTTACTAGCCACCACTAAACGTATTAGAAGAAGAACACCCTGAAGACTTTGTCACATGATGTTGTGGAAGAGATGTCATGCTCTAATGAAGCTGTAACTTTTAAACCTGATTCATAATCCTACCTTACTGCCTTCCTGCTGCTTTAAACCCATGTATTTTTCATTTTAGTATAGATTTTTACAATAAAGATGTATTAAAAATATCTTCACTTTTATTATTTGCAGATATGCACACATGAAGGACCCCACTCACCCAGCACACACACTTTTTGCCCCACTCCCCTCAGGAAGGAGGTTAAGGAGCATTAAGTGTAGAACCACTAGACTGAGGAACAGCTTCTACCCTGAGGCTGTTAGACTCATGAATCTCTAACTAGAATAATCACTGTGGAAAACCATATCATGTTGCTGCTGATCTGTTTCATGTTGCTGCTGATCTGTTTCATGTTGCTGCTGATCTGTTTCAATGTTGATGTGTTCATGCGTGCACATCTGCTCACAGACTCATGTTCATGTTTGTGCTGATGTTCAATATTTTATGTTATGAGTGCTTAGTGTATATTTAGTTGATGTTTTTCTTAGTTCATATCTTAGATGTTATTACTGTTTTTCTTTTACATTTTATTGTTGGATGTAACTGGGACCCTGTGTACATAATTTCGCTCCACCACATGTACCACATGAGGTGCGAATGACAATAAAGAAACTCTGACTCTGACTCTCTGACTCTGACAAGGTTCATGTTAAAATGACAAAACATCACACTGTGCTGTAATCTTTGAAACTACTTTTACAATAAGACTTGAAAACAATTAGATTAAATTTTGTCATTAAATTTTAAAGGTTTGTTTTTCATTAAATTTAAAAACATAAATGTATTACTTATTAATCTAAAAAAGTTAAGTCTGGTCCTCTGGACATTCAAAAAACAAAACAAACAAAAAACATTTATTGTTTATTTTTTATAAACTGTTTTGTTTGTTTTGTGAATGTCCAGAGGACCAGACTTAACTTTTTAGATTTTTCTACCTGGATTATTGAGCAGCATCAGGATATTAATTAATAAATAGTCAGTTGGTCTGTGAACACCATGGGGTCCTAGAAGAGTTGAAGAGGTGGCTGTTGATGTCTGTGCCTCCCTGGTGAAGATGCTGCTCCCACAACCCTGAAGCAGAAGAGGATGGATGGATGGATG